TTTTAAGAGTAAAGACATACAACAAATTCAATAAATATTGTGACAAACTTTTAAAAGTTTTGAAATACAACAAATAATAAATGTATGATGATTACATGTCCCGTGGGACTCCATTATGATAAAAATTGGGATTTTCTTCTTCTTCTTCTTCTTCTTCATCATCAACAAGAAACTCATCTGGGTTCACGGGGGGGTCTTCAGGGTCAGGTCGGGTTCCTCCTCGGGGTGCTCCTCGGGGTCCTCCTCGGGGTGCTCCTCGGCCTCCGTGGCTCGGTGTGCCACTACCTCCTCCGGATGACCTCGCAAAATCAAAGGACATAGAACCGAAATTCGGGGAGATCATAGGCATGCCACCATATCCGGAGTTGGGGAAAAATCCCATACCGCCCATGTGCGGAACATGAGGAGTTTGCTCAGGGTGGAATACGTACGGGGGAGGAAAAGGCTGTTGCGGAGGCTGGAATCCGGCACGCATGTACCGTTCCATCTCCTCCAGTCGGGCTTTTGTTTCTTCCTCTCTTTTCCGCTGCTCCTCCCATCGCCGTTCGTGCTCCTCCAGTTCACGCTGCATTGTGGCAATACGGGGATCTTCTCCCCGCCTTGACCGAGAAGAGGAAGCGCCGGTGCTTCGATCATACAAAATCCGTTGCCCCTCAGCCCCCAAGCACGGAACCCGGCCCTTGTAAACCCCGGCCGCCTCAATGGCCGCCTCATCATCCGCATCGGAATCGAGGTCGTCCTCCTGGGTCAAGCCTCGTGCCGCACGCTGCCTGTCGAGGGATTCGTTGTACTTCGTCTGCATTTTCAAAAAGATTTTTTAAATGCTACATACTTAGATTTGAAATGTTACTAAATAACAAAATATGATGTTACATACTTCGAAGTCGGCGAGGCGGGGTGGCAAATCGGCTTCAGATTCCTCGCCGTGCTTCGTCCAGCAATGCTTGACGAGCCGGAGAACATCAACCTTCTTCTTCTCAGGACCAGCCTAAATGGTGTGAAAAATACTTAAATTAAATTTTTTATAATGAAGGAATGTGATGTTGTAAGGTTTTTTGAATAGCACTTACAAGAGTTTCTTTATGGGCATTCTGAGATTTACGACCTCCGTGCCACTGCATCTCCAAGGCCTTCTCGGACATCCGGTTTTTCTTACCGGATTCACTTCTGGCCAAGAATTTCGGATCAGAAGACCAGTGGCGACAAAGGTTGGACCACACTTCATCCGAAACCCATCTAGGCTTTTTCCCACTTTTTCGCGCACGTTTAAAAGTGGCGCGAAGCCAGGTCGAAATCCTAGCATTGTAGGCTTTAAGAATATCGGCACCGTTTGCGTGGGTCCAACGATAGCGAGCCTTTATTAAAACAAATTGGATTAATTAATCACCAGGTATATATTAGGCCAATACAATCAGGAAGGGAACATTCATTTATTTTTACCTTGAACAGGTTCCACCATAGTTCGCGAACCTTGGGGTCAACATCTGACAGTGTGGCCCAAGTGCCAAGAAAGTGTCCTCCGATGATGTTTTTGATGCCCGTGAACACGTGTTCGTCACTTAAAAAAATTAATAGTATTTATTTATATAAGATTTGGTTTGATTATTTAACATTATATAAAATTATTGAAAATAAGGTTTTTCATAACTACTTACAAAAGAACTTCTGCAGGCGTCACCCAAACAGCTCCATCATTGTTGCACTCCGCTTCGGACATAGGCGCATGGTTAGGGCGGGGAGCCGAGGTCGATTGTTCGTTGCTCATCTAAAATATATTAATTTATTTTGTTTTTTGTTAGAACGCTTATAAAAGTTTGAGGTGTGCTTACTAAAGGTCCATTAAAGTTTGGGGTATATTTATTATTTTTCACTATAAAAATTTATACAAGTATTATTAATTGAAAATGTGTATAGCATATTAAACTATTTTTAGTTTAATATGAGGGGTCCATATTTTTTCATAATAAGTTCTTAAATAATTTGTTAATAAATTGCACTTGGAGGTAACATGTTAAACTTTTTGCAAAGTTTACATGAGAGGAGATCATTTTTTTATGTTTTAGATATATCATTTTAAAATAAATTTAAAACAGTTTGTTATTAAAACAGTTTTTATAAAAACAGTTATTATAAATACAGTTTTTATAAAAACACTTTATATTAAAACAGTTTTTAAAAAACTGTTTTTTACAAAAATCTGTTTAATAAAACATTTTATATAAAACAGTTTGTATATATCAATTTTTGTAAAACCGGTTTTTTTAGATAAATTATACAAACAGTTTATATTAAAACAGTTTGTATAAAACAGTTTTTATTAAAAACAGTTTTTATTAGATTAATTTTAAAAACAGTTTATATAAAAACAGTTTGTATAAAAACAGTTTTTATAAACACAGTTTTAATAAAAACAGTTTTCATAAAAACACTTTTTATTAAAACAGTTTTTATAAAAACTGTTTTTTACAATAATCTGTTTAATAAAACATTTTATATAAAACAGTTTATATATATCAATTTTTGTAAAAACAGTTTTTTTAGATAAATTATAAAAACAGTTTATATTGAAACAGTTTGTATAAAAACAGTTTTTATTTAAAACAGTTTTTATAAAAACAGTTTTTATTAGATTAATTATAAAAACAGTTTATATAAAAACAGTTTGTATAAAAACAGTTTTTATAAAAACAGTTTTTATTAGATTAATTATAAAAACAGTTTGTATAAAAACAGTTTTTATTAAAAACAGTTTTTATTAAAAACAGTTTTTATTAAAAACAGTTTTTATTAAAAACAGTTTTTATAAAAACTGTTTTTATTAGATTAATTATAAAAACAGTTTATATAAAAACTGTTTGTATAAAAACAGTTTTTATAAACACAGTTTTTATAAAAACACTTTTTATTAAAACAGTTTTTACAAAAACTGTTTTTTAAAAAAATCTGTTTAATAAAACAGTTTTTAATTAACAGTTTTTATAAAAACACTTTTTATAAAAACAGATTTTTTTAGATAAATTATAAAAACAATGTTTCGTCCAGTTTTTTTCGGGATTGAATTTAAATGTTTAATATTTTGTTAATGGATATTACGGAAATTATATTTAAACGTGTTAAACTATTTTTGGAAATTTAACACGAGGGGCTATTTATTTAAACAGTTTTTTTTAAATATTAACCTAAATTAAATATTTTCGGAAATAAAATTTAAAGTAGTGCATGTGTATAGAAAGGCATGCAAATCAAACACTAAACATATATGTTTAACATGTTACTAATTGTATAAGCACGCATTAGTTCGAAAATATATTAATCATGCATATGAACATATATTAAACATAAAATAATCTACATTTGAACATATATTAATCATGCATACGAAACATATAAAACGAAATAATCATGCAAAACTACAAATCATGCATATAATAAATCATACATACAACTTTTGAAGATTACAAAATGATATGAAACTAAAAATCATGCATCTTATCATGCATTTAAGTATACAATCATGCATTTTTGGAAGTTTAATCAAATATTACAAAATAAGAAGAACAGAACACATAACCTTGACTGAAGAAGGGTCGACGGAAGAAGGTGGCCGGAGGACGCCGGAGGACGACGGCGGACGGCTAGGCGTTGACGGCGGCAGCTAGGCGGCGACGGCGGACAGCTAGGCGGCTGACGGCGGACGGCTAGGCGGCGGCGGCACTGTCTAAACTGGAAGAGAGGGAAGAGAGAAGGAAGAGGTTGTTTAGGGTTTGGGAGTTGGGTGCGTCGGATTTTTTAAAAAAACGCTAAGGGGTTATTTTATATAAGGGTTTAGTCACGGTCATAGTCACGGTCCGGACCGTGACTAAACCCTTCGTAATTGACGAAGTCAGTCCGCCGGTCAGAGACGCCTTTTAATCGGAATAGTCACGGTCAGACCCGTGACTATGACCGTGACTATTTTCAAAATTTGAAAATAGTCACGGTCATAGTCACGGGTCTGACCGTGACTATTATTGTCAGCGCCGCTCTGACCGGCGGACTGACTTCGGCATTTACGAAGGGTTTAGTCACGGTCCTGTCCGTGACTAAAACCGTGACAACTTGAAATTTTTTAGTATAAATCATCTTTCTCCGGCCCAAGACTGAACTGTAAAAAAAAATGGCTAATAGAGATCCAATTGACTGGGATTCGATGTGTAGAGGTATGATACGACTTAAGCTGATTACAGAGCTTATGGAGCCGAAAACCGTGGAAGCATACGAGAGAATCAAGGAGTTGATGTCTAGACCCCTTGAAAGTTTTGGCGATTATAAAGATGAAGAATCCGACTCGTTGGGCAAGTCAAAAGCAAGAAATTTGTGTCGGATGCTTCAACGTGCACAAGAAGTTTCAGAGTATATGGACCCGATCAACGAAGAAGCTCGAATGAAAATTCAGGAGTTGTGGGCTAGGCCTCTTGAAAGTTTCCGATTGAGGAATGAATAATGTTAGTTAGGCTAATGTGATAAATAAATTTATGTTAGTTGTTTAATAAATAATATGTGACAATTTCATTGTGTGTTTTGTATTTATCTTTGAAATTTGATAAATAAATATCTGTTAGTTGTTTATTAATATCTAAATTTATTATAATATTCAGATTAGTAAAAGTAGATTACTGTTTTTTTAATTTTCGAATTTTGTTAATTTTCGAATAGACTTAGAATTATTAAAATTAATTTTCGAATTTCGAATTACTAAAAATAATTTTTCTAAATTTTCGAATTTAGAAAAATCAAAAATAATATTTGAATTTTTGAATTTGAAAATAAAAGAATATAATATAGAGTAATTTCATATTTTGTATTGGGTAAATTTTAATTTTCAAACTTCGAATTGTGAAAAATTTTATTTTGAATTTATGATATGGATATAAAAAACTTGTTGTGGTTGAATTAATATGGAGTAATTTTTTGTTCATAATAAATAATGATAAAGATAGAAAAAAATTCAAATATTGTTGGAGTAATATAATGATGAAGAAATGTGCACAAATATTAGAAGTCAATAAAATTGAAATTACAACAGCACAATTATTCGCTATCAGAATCGTCATTTTCTACATATACAGTATCTTCTTCTGTATCTGAACCGTCTATCCATTCACCTTCTTCCTGATATTGAGCATTTTGTTGTGCTACATACATTTCCTCAATTTCGCGCTCAGATGGAATGGTTGGGTCCGGAAGGTGCGTTTCTGGCATGACTTCAACACGTCCGCCATTTGGATCACTTAATTGAACGTTATAGTTGACCGTCTCAACAATAGGCGGAGGTTGGAAAAATTGTTGCTGAAAAGCATCTAGATCAACGTCCTTGTGTTGAGTTTGTGATTTTATTTTGTTCGGACGGACAGGACATGCACATACCCAAGGATTCTGTGTCCGCCTTGTTGAAGGATATTCTGCATAATAAATCTGCGCTGCTTGTTGGGCGAGTATGAAGGGCTCATTTTTTGGGTACACACGAGAGAGGTTGACGTCAATAATATTATACTTGGGATTTTTGCGCACGCCACGTGTGGGGTCGACCCATGTGCAACGGAACAGAACACATGTCAATTTTTTCGCACAAGAAGGCATCTCAAGTTCCAGAATCTCCTGCAGGACACCAAAAAAACTGGTTTCCGAGTTATCATAACCGATGGTCGGGACACATAACCCGCTGTTCGTTGTTGGTCGGCCCTCTCCGTAATCGGCTGTGTGATATGTGTAACCGTTTATCACATATTGCCGCCACACTTTGGCACTGGCACCTGGGCCCCACGCTAATGATACTAACAAAGGGTCGACAATCCCACGACTATTGATCTGTAAATATAAACATAATAATAACATTAGGTAAACATTAGGTAATATATATAATTAATGTGTGTGTATATATACCTGATACTTGTACCAATTTACAAAATCAGAGTCCACCAACGCATCTATTTCATTCTCAGGAAAGGCTGATAAAGAAGCTCGGAATTCACTGTGAAGTCAAAAATAAAAAAAAAAAACTATAAATTAACTACAAATTTAATTTATAAGTATTACAATTATAACTACAAATTTAACTTACTGATAAAACGGTGAGATTTCTGGACAATTCATGAGGATATAAGTATGCGCAATTTGCAATTCCCCACCCAGGATGTATCGTTGTGTCGCAGCACCTTTACCTCTGCCTGGGTAATTGAAGATGGAAACTACATTTTCATATAAATCCTCGCCAATGTCATCGTTCCGGGCAGGTCTCTTCCTTCTGGTGATGACTTCACGCTCGAAGTAAAAAGACGAGAACGTTGAGATTTCTTGTTGAAGATACGCTTGACAAATTGAAGCCTCAACGTGTGCCTTGTTGGTCACTTTCTTTTTCAGCTCTCCTAGAAATCTGCAATAATGCAATAATACACATGTTAATAGTTATTGTGAAATAAATAATCTTTTTTTAAATGAAATTGTGACTAACCTTTCAAATCTGTACATCCACCGATAGAAGACGGGCCCAGCAGTCAAAGCCTCATACGGAAGATGTATAATGAGATGTTCCATTGTATCGAAAAACGATGGTGGCATTATTTTTTCCAGATTACACATCAGAATGGGAACAGACTCTTGTAGTCTCCGGAGGGATGCCGCATCCAAAACGCTGGAACATATCGATTGAAACAACAAACTGATTTCAGTAATGCAGGACCATACGTGTTCAGGGAGCATCTCTTTTAGTGCAATTGGTAGAAGTCTTTGCATTATTACATGAGCATCGTGAGTTTTCATGCTCGTCGTCGTGGTAAGTTTGTTCATGTCTACGCATCTAGACAAGTTGGAGCAGTAGCCATCGGGAAACTTCTGAGACGCAAGCCATTTTAATATTGCTGCCTTTTGTGGTTCTGTGACCTGGTAGACTGCTTTTGGAACTTCCTTGCCCTGATATTCTAGATCAACAGAAAGTTCGGGTCTATCACACCAAATAGTCATATCTTTCCTAGCTGCAAGACCGTCTTTAGTTTTGCCTTTCAAATCCATCACCGTGTTAAATATATTGTCAAAGACGTTCTTCTCGGTGTGCATGACATCTAAATTGTGACGGATGAGAAGGTTTTTCCAATAAGGCAACTCCCAGAATATGCTCCTCTTTGTCCACTTATGGGTATCACAATACCCATATGGCTCTTGGTTTGGCTCTTCCATAGCCGTAGGGAAACGTCGAACCCGGTTATAAATTTCTTCACCGGTCAATCTCGGGGGTGGGCTCTCTCGAACCGCTCTGCCTCTAATGAAAGACTTCTTGTCCTTTCGATATCGGTGCCTTTCCGGGAGAAACTTGCGGTGACAATCAAAGTAACTTCCTTTTTTGCTGTAACTGAGCCAGTTGGCACCTGATTTCTCCATGCATATCGGACATCCCATCAGACCGTGTGTGCTCCATCCCGAAAGCATGCCATAGGCAGGGAAGTCGCTAATGGTCCAAATGATGGCAGCTTTCATGATAAACATTTTATCTGATGAAACATCATAAGTTGGTGTCCCAACGGCCCACAGTTCTTTCATCTCCTCGATAAGGGGTTGGAGATAAATGTCTATCTTTCGCCCAGGATCCTTGGAACCCGGACAAATTAAAGACAAAAAGATGAAATGACTTTTCATGCACATGTCGGGAGGGAGATTGTAAGGTGTTAACATGACCGGCCAACATGAATAGTTCTTGCCAAACCTGCCAAAAGGAGCAAATCCATCTGAACACAATCCCAGCCGCACATTTCGTGGCTCCATAGCAAACTGAGGATGACAGCGGTCAAAGTGTCTCCAGGCTTCACAGTCCGAAGGGTGAGCCATCATACCCTCGTTGGTTTCGTGCTCAACATGCCATGTCATGTGTTTCGCAGTAGCAGTCGAAGCGTACATCCTTTGCAGTCGAGGAGCTATTGGGAGGTAATACAGTTTAGACAGTGCAGACCTATGTCGTGGTTTCTTTTTATTTTGACGAACAGGTTTGTATCTGTCTCCACCACAGAACTTGCAGAACTCAAGTGCCTCATCCTCCTTCCAGAACAACATACATCCTTCCGGGCACGCATCAATTTCAACACAAGGTAGCCCCAACTTAGACATTAACTGCTTCATGTGGTAATATGAATCGGGAAGGGTATGATCTCGCGGTAGCATCCCTCCTACTGACTGCAAGACTCTATTCATGCAAGTTTCAGGGAGACTGTATTCAGCTTTTATGTTCATGAACTCAGTAACAGCGGATAGCTGAGAGTATCCCTCACAATCAGCATACAGAGGTTGGTCGACAGCTTTTAGAACATCCTGAAATCTCTCAGCCAAACCTTCATCCACATAAGGTTGATAAAATGTCGGATTTTCATCCGCATCTGGTTGATACGAGGTTGAGGCTTCAGGGGGGTCGTTAGGTGGTTGTGGGGGGTTGAATTGAGACGGTACACCGTATGCGTCATATACCATTTGTTGGTCCCACCTCATTTCAGCACGGTCTCCCCACGCACTCATCTCTGGAGGGACGTAACGAGACGAACCTACCGTTTGTGGTATAACAGATGGATCCAAAGGTTCGCCGTGAGAAGTCCAATTATAATAATTGGGAACAAAACCGACCGCGTACAAATCATACCCAACTTCGTGTGGGTCTTTAAATTTGAGATTTTTACACTTTGAACATGGACATCTTATTTTATCACCACTCATATAAGCCGGATGTTCAAGTGCAAATTCAATAAATTCCCCGACTCCCTCGAGAAAATTTGATTGCATTCCGTACAATACCGCATCTTTATCATACATCCAACTTCTATTTTTTTTATACATTATGCCTGAATATTATAATAAAAAATTAGATGAAATGCAATGCACACAATTTTAAGTAATTTATTTCACTAAATATAATCAACTAATTTTCACTTTTTTTAATTGAAATGCACAGAATTCACATCTTAGTTATGCACAAAATATATGTCACCTAATGCACAATAATGCAGATAATTTCACTATATTAAACATACGTTTAATTAAATCTAACTAATTCATTTAGTTAAATTTAACTAAATTTAACTAGTTAATTCCGTCCCCTTTTAATGCATCACTACGTTTAAACTTACGTTTAGCTACCTAATTTAACTTAATTAACACATCAATAGCTACGTTCAAACCTACGTTTAGCAAACGAATTTTAATTAAATTATTTTTGTAAACCTACGTTTAAACCTACACTAAATTATTACGTTAATGACATTTAATCTTATTAGTAATACACAATTAACAATTCACTAAATTAAATAATATGACCAAATTCAACCCAATAATTTGAACATGTATATAAAGTTATTTGAATTAATAAGCAATACACAATTCACAATAACAATTCACAATTCACTTAATTAACACATTACTAACGTACGTTATTTGAACTAATTTCACTAAACATAAACATCATTACGTTTTAAACCACATTTATCTAACTAATTTTAATTAAATTATTTTAATTTATAAACCTAAAAGTTTAACTAATTCTAATTTATGACATTACTACGCTTATAGTTAAAACATGTTGTTAATTAATTAACAACCTCACTAATTTAATAGTTTTAATAATTTAAATTGAACCAACTAATTCTAAATAAAAATTATAATTCAAATAACATACCTTATCTGCATAAACAGGGAAAATGATAGAAGATAGACTACATCCTTCGATCTACGGATACTGTATATACTGGGAATGAATTGGTGTGGTTCTGTTGAATGAATGAGCTGCTCCTGCATATATAAAAAATTTAGTCACGGACTTAGTCACGGATTTGTCCGTCACTAAGCAAAACCGTGTCCAACACGCGTCCAACACGTGTTAATTACGTGTAAATGACGTGTTAATCAACATAGTCACGGAACTAGTCACGGATATGGCCGTGACTACATTTATCCGTACATAATGCCGTTGCGAATTAACTAAGGGAGTTGAAAAAAATTAAATTTTAATTATAGTCACGGGCATAGTCACGGATTTGGCCGTGACTAAGTCATCGGAATAAAAAAAACTGCGCCGGAAACGGGAATGGGCCTATCGGAGAAATTAAGTCACGGTCATGGACCGTGACTAATGTTAGTCACGGTCATAGTCACGGTCCTGACCGTGACTATTTTTTTTTTAAAAATTCCGTGACAAATCCGTGACTAGACCGTGACTAAACTAGTCACGGACGAAATCCGTGACTAAAATCCGTGACTATAACGCTGTTTTTTTGTAGTGTACGGTACATCACTAAATATAGAATGTACCGGTACACTCCATTTTTAAACCAATCAAATACTGCCACATTCACGTGATCACGTCCTAATCATTTTAGTATGGAAATTTTATACTACCTTATTTTGCAGTTTAGTCCTCGGTCAATGAGAAATAATAAAAATTCTCTCAAACAAAAAAAAAACATTTTATTATGAAATATTATATCAAGCGTTGTCTTCTGCCTTAAAGTGTAAAGAATGATTTCTCTAATAATGTAGTATTTACCTAAAATAGGGTTTCCATATTTTGTTGTTTCCTATTGTATTCAGGACACTTATTCTATTATATATATGACATCCAGGGCTACCTATTGGGTATGCCTTCCCATTATTCTCACATGGTATCAAGAGCCCTAGCCTTTAGACAACATTAAATTTTTTTTCGATCCTATGGCGTCTCAAGATACTTCCGCCGCAGCCACCTCGGATGTCACCATCACCACTACTTCTCCGGTGACTTCGACGGTAAATAACGCAGGCGATGTTCCAGCCGCATCAGTGTCGATCGCGCCGCCTCCCTTCTCCGACGAGCAGCTCCACTCGATGCCGGCTTTCTCCGAGCAGCACCAGACGACACCGCCAACGTCTTGGATAGCGCCGGTTTTTACGTGGAGTCCTACGGTCCCTCACCCACGAGTTTCGTTTCTTGACTCCATGGCAGAGTCCAGCCACACTGATATTCCTCGCTTCGCAGGCACTACTTTCTCCGGAAGCCCAGGATTGCAACTGCCGCACTCCACTGCCGCGATTGGCCAACGGCCGGTAACTCCTCCCATACCAACGTCATTCTCTACACTTGCTCAAGGTATGGGTTTTGGTGCTTCTTCTATCACCACTATTGTCACCATGAAATTGCTGGCCGTAGAAGATTACCTACCCTGGCGTACACAATTTGAGTCCTTTTTGGTCTCCAATGGTCTTTTGGGGATCTTAGATGGCTCTCTTCCGGCTCCTCCTGTGTACACCTATGATCACTTTCAGTCCCAATCACTTAATCCAGAGTATTATCATTGGTTAAAATTGGACCAAACCGTTCGCTCTTGGTTATTTGCTACCCTCTCTCGTGATATCTTACTCGAGGTTCATAACTTGAAAAATTCTACGGCCATCTGGCAACGGTTGGAGTCCCGATTTATGGCTGCTAGCCTGGCTCGTTCCATGGAATTAAAACACATGTTAACTCGCCTTCGCAAGAAACCAGATCAAACCATGGAACAATATGTTCAAAAAATTAAGAACATTGCTGACTCTCTCGCCATGATTAATTCCCCAGTTTCTGACCGTGATCTTTTGGAATATACACTTTTGGGTTTAGGACCGGGTTATGAATCTTTGGTGGGACCCCTTACTCTCTTCCCGGAAGGACTCACGTTCGACTCCCTTTGCACCAAACTCGTCCATCAAGAAGCACGTCTTCAATTTCAGCAAACTTTGGATCCGGTGGGGGGCACTCCAGCTTTCGCAGCATCTTCGTCAACTGGGGCCAGTTCACTTGCGGCTTCTGCGGCTTCCAGCTCTGGCGGACAGCAACCTCAGCGCGGAGGTCGTGGTGGCCGGCGAGGTGGGACACGTGGAAGAAAACATCGACATCTCCTTGAATTAACTCGCACTATGCTTTTCGAAGCAAAAATGCCGGCTAAATTCTGGGTAGATGCTGTTTTTACCGCTACCTATATTGTTAATCGTCTCCCTACTCCTAATTTAAATGGTGCTTCTCCGTTTGAAAAATTATTCCATCATACCCCAGACTTCTCCTTTATGCGTGTTTTTGGATGTGCCTGTTTTCCAAATTTTAATGCCACTTCTGCCAATAAGCTTTCTCCTCGGTCCACTCTATGTGTTTTTCAAGGCTATGCTTCCGAGTACAAAGGTTATCGTTGTCTTGATCCTATCACTGGCAAAATTTACATCAATAGGAATGTACGGTTTCATGAAAATTATTTTCCATATTCAGACATAATTTCATCTATTTCAAAACCGGCATTGCCTTCTTTGTCCCCGGTATCCACCGTCTCGCTACACCGCACCACAGCCCCGCCACTCTTTTCCGCTGCCCCACCATCCTTTGACACTGTACACGACAACCAAGATACTCCTTCGGCCAGTCCACCTCACTCACTGCCCGACAACCTCCAGCTCAGCCCATCACCACGTCCTTCACCGATCACAAACCCCACTCCATCCACGGCCATTCCCCAGCCCTCACAATCTCCACCTTCCTCACAATTCTCCTCTCCTGGCAGCACAGCCGACCCCGAATCACCACCACCCACTCCCCCAAATATTGGTCATCCCATGTGATGGATAGTCTACCCGGGGGGTATCTTATCCGGGGGGTTATTGCGGAAATAACTAGAGAGAAGTCAGAGCAAATAGGAGGAGAGAGAGTCGATTTTATTAAATGAACTCAGCGTGTGTTGGGATGTACATTGTGTCCATTACAAGGAGAAATGGGCTGCTATTTATAGCAGCAATAAATGCGATGAGAGTACACGTGTCAGCAATCCAACGGCCGAAGGGTCACATCAGCCTGGTGGCACCGGCAGTGGTACGTCAACCGCATTCAATGCGGTTGGCGGATGCGACGTGGCATTAAATGCGGTGGTTGGCTGTCCCTAAAAGGAATCTTCGATGATTGAGCTAGTTTAGCCGAGGGTTCCTTGTGTAGCCGAGGGCTCTTTGTGTAGCCAAGGACCATTGTGTGGCCGAAGGCCCCTGTTGCCGAAGGCCCCCTGTTGCCGAGGGCGTAACAATGCCGAAGGCTTATGTTTTCGCCCGTTTTTCTCCCAGCAGCCTCTTATGTCAGAGAAGGCTATTCTGTGAGTTTTGGAGCCCTCGGCCAAGGAGGCCGAAGGCATCCCAGTGTGCATTCTGAGCTACTTTGAGGCTTGGGCCGCTGTATTTGGGCCTGAGTTGTTCTCTGGGCTCAACGGACTTGTGTAGGAGAAGTAGGAGTCTATGGGCCGGGGGTTCCTGGGCCATATACTCCATCAGGAGTCCCTCACTCCTTTTGCCGAAAGGTACTTGAGGGAAAAGGAGTAGATGTGTTGATTCTACTGGAGGCTCCATCATCTCGCCGGGTGTCTTTGCCGGAGAACTTGTCTTCTGCTGATTGCCGAAGGCTTCCCTCAGTCCCTCACATGTCGAGGGTTTTCTGAGGAAGAGTATGGATGTGTTGCCCGTATGTGTTGTTATGAGGGCTGCTTCGTTTCCGTAAGTGACTTGGTGAAAACTTGTGATATCCTGCCTTTGCCGAAGGGGTTCCACTTTGATGTTTGTAAGCAGGCTGCATGCGTCAATTGTAGAATGGAGAAATTTCTGTTCTGCATGATTCCCGAGGGGTATACTCCAGTCCCCCACTCCTTTAGGCCGAAGGCAAGTTTGGGCTGAAGGAGTTATAACGTGTGTGTAACCCCGAGGGGTTCCATTGATTTAGGGGTAAAATTGCCGGTAAACCGAGGGCTCATGTTGTTGTATCCTCGAAGGCGCCAGGCGAAAGTTGTTCACCGAAAGCTATAACAGGCTGCAGCCGGAGGCAATCACTTGGGGGTGCAACGTCGATAATCCGAAGGCTTATGTTGATGCTTCCCCGAAGGATGTAACAGGTGACAGCCGGAGGCTATTACCCGGAAGCCTGCTAGTATCCCGGGAACATGGCCGTTATAATAGAACCGTTGGAAGGGGAGCACACGTGGCGTGCTCCTGTTGGCCGAAAGTGGGCGGGTGTCACCCGTTGGCTGAAGCGGCGGCCCGTAATGATGGCCTTTTCAAATCGAGGCCCAGTTCTCGAGGCTGAAAGCCTATAAATACCCCGAGCCCCAAGTCATTCGCGCTGTGCGTCCTTAGCTATAGCGAAGCTCTGCCCATTTTTCTAGAGAGAGAAAGCAATTCCTTCGATTGAATTCGATTCCTTGAGGTCAGTTCTTCCCTGTTTTTCACTTTTCCAGCATACTTTGCTTTTTCGTCTCTTGATTTAGTGTTAGTGGCCTTAGAACCCTAGGAAACTCCTTCCCTCTCGAAAACCCTTCGGCGATCAACCTGCAAGAGATGTCTTCTGCCAGCGACTCTCAGGACATTTCAAGGGAGCCCTCGGAAAAGCAGGAGAGCTACTCGGATGTGGAGTCCTCGAGTGAGCAGCCGTCGATGAACAACGACTTCGTGGTAGCTGAGGAGGTGCAAAAAGTCCTTCGGGCCGAGTTGGAGGCCGAAGACTTCGAACAGGTGAATGAGGATGAGGAGCTGGCCCTCGCTCTGCAAATCGCTGAAGAGGAGGATGAAAAGGAACGCCGCCAGGTGACAATTGCAGTCATGCCCTCTCGGGGTGCTGGTGAAGCGAGCACCTCCCGGCCTTTGGACGCTCAGCCCCTCCGGGTAGCCGAGGGGAAAAAGAAGAAGAAGCCGAAGGCCGCTCCAAAGAGAAAGCAAGCGGCCGTTGACGCCGGGCGACCCGTCGGAATTCCCGAGGGGTATTC